AGACCCACACATGCTGGCTGGTTCTAGTTATGTGTTAACTTCCCTAGAGTTCTATTTCTTCCCATCCATTCTTCATTGGAACGAACAAGCTTCAGGACAGATAAGTATCACTTCTCATCACCCCCACCTGCTAATGCAAAGGTGCTTATTTTAATACTGTATTTCTGAGGAACTTGATTGAATGTGTGCGTGCCTCAGTATTGTTTGTATGTGATTTATATTCTTAAGTAAAAGACAGTTATTTTAACAACACCAGCCTCGACTCCTTCTCTGGTAACCCTTGGTGGGAACAGGACCTTGGTATAGTTGGCAAGCACCCAGTTTAAAATTTGCCAATTGCTGTAGATAAAGCAATTCGGCTAACACCACTCCAAGTGAAACTGAAAGTACTTCTGCAGATCAGTTGTAATCTGAATATCAGTTTTATGTCCTGCTGTCAAGGACAAGGATGTAACATAAAACTTTCCCACACCATAGTATTTACAATGTGACTCATTGCAGGCAACTTCTAAAATGTTTACTTTGGAACGTGCCAGTGCTGATGTTCTGAAAAGTAGTAGCAAGGAATGGCTGCTCTGAATCTTTCTTCAGAACAATAAATGTCTTTCTTTAGGAACAAAGAAAGGAAGCTGCCCCCTGAATATGCAACCCTCCCTTTGCTGATGGGGACACAAGTTTCCATTTGGTTTCACTATGTGAAAATGTAATCATGTTTTGTCATATGCAAATACCAGCCCTCCCATAAATGCTTTAAAAACAGAGTTTGGTGAGAGGCACCCTAGACCATGCACCCATAGAAAAAACATTGTGTCTCCCTATATTGTTCATGGTGGCATGGTAATGCAACTGGTTTGGATCCAGCCACCATTTTAACTCAGTCACACCCAACTATCCACCTTATGTCAGCATTCATTGCACATGGCTTTTGTCCATGAAGAACCCACAATTTCCTGCATAATCTTTTTTAGTGCTCAGAGGGGACCCCAAATTCTTTTTCACCAGAAGAAAAGCTGGTTGGATCTAGCCCACTGGGTGGCATCCAGCCAGTTTTTTTTGCTCAGCCTCACCTGATTCTCATCCTTATTACATCCCCTGTCGCCCACGTTGTTTGTCCATGCAAATCCCATGAGCCCCAACCCAGCCTTTTTGAGCAGTTGCAGAGGACCTTTTCCCAACAGGAAAAAAGCTGGTTGGATCTTGTCCAATGTTCCCTGCTCAGTGGGTATTTTAAAATCCTTTGCAGACTGTTTTATTAATGGGTACTGGAGTTTTTTCTTAGCTACAGACAACACAAAAGATGAAAACAAGACTTACACAACTTGTTCAGTCATTGTTTATTACTGCTGTGTGACCTCTTTATTTTTTAATTCACTCGATTTCCAAAGAACCAATGGGTCAATGCTCTCTGGAGCAAGAATAACACACTACATCTCAAACACGAACACACCTGATGCTGCCTTACACTGGATCAGGCCCTTGATCCATCAAAGTCAATATGATCTCCTCAGACTGGCAGCAGCTCTTCAGTGATATAAAGTCATTTCTGGTACCAGGGGTCATTTCCTGCAGGAGTGCACAGGAGCAGAGCTCCGGCAGTAAAGAGCCCAGGGGGCGGGCACACGCAACAAGCCCCACCCCCTGCTCCCAGCAGCCCTCAGTCAGAGCAAGAAGCAGCCAGGTATGCTGCAGAGCACACACCCCATCCCTCCGGTCCAAAACAGTCCAGTGCCACCTTTAAGACCAAGTTTTATTCAGTTACAAACTCTCTCTCCTCTGCGAAGACAGATCTGCACATCCCCCCCAATAGCTAGCAATCCAAAACAGTCTAGTGGAGCCTGAGCGGTGGGTGTTGCCTTCTGACACACTTCTGGTGATGTCAGGGGGTGTGGCACATGCAAATAAGTTATACTAATGAGTTATGCTAATGAGCTCCAGCACCTCTTTTTCTACGAAATGACCCCTGTCTGGTACTATAAGAACATAAGAAGAGCTGGATCAGGCCAGTGGTCCATCTAATCCAGCCTGCTGTTTCTCTTAGTGACCAACCCACTGCCATGGAGGGCTGACAAAGAGGGCAAAGAGGCTGAGGTCTTCTGCTGATGTTTCTCCTAACACTGGTGTTTAAAGGCAAGACATCTGGACTTCATGATTTGCGATGATGCAGAATTGGACCAATTGCATTTATTTGTTGGACATCTGAGTCATAGTCTAAAGTGAGTACAGCTAATTGTTTTAACAACAATAGATAATCTATTTTGTTTCCAGTTACACAAATGGACCATGTAATGGTGGTTTGCCGCCCTGCCAGGCCCTTTGAACCCTTGCAAAGTATATCGTTTTCTTCCCCCCATGCTTGGGCTCCGGAGAGTGCTAGAAGGCGGAGCTAACAATAAAGGTTTGTTGGCTTCTGTGGCTGGTAATGGAAAGTGCAATGGGTTTATTCTGGAGGAGCTTGTCTGTAAAGTGACTGTGCATGCAGTCATCATGGCAGCTGCTGATTTCCCCAGTAGGTCAGTGTGCCACTACCTCCCTTTTCCCTCTGCTCTTTGGCTACCCTCTTTCCAATTGGTTCCCCTGTAGAAGGCAGCTACGTAGTAACTGCATACATCTTGCTATGGTCTCAGACATAACAAACAGTGTGCTGAGCTCCAGAACCTTAATGTGCATGCAGGGCTTGCATAGTGCAAGCATGTGGACATATTGACAGGGATCCAACCTTAGGTTGAAATAAATTATTTCAGCTTAAGGCAACTTCCTTCATCTTAAATTGCTCTTCGAATGGAGGAAGACTCCTTTGGCTGGGGGAAAGCTCCAAACTTTGCTTCCTGGAGTGCTTGGGGTGGTGTTGGTAGGATCCACAGTATTGTTTTGCTGACACAGTTCTGGAAAAAAGGCAGAGAGCAAAAACAAAGTAAAGTTTCTTTTCCTTGGCTAGTGAATCAACAAAAGTGTTGTGGAGAGACTTGAGAAAATGTTTCTGCGGCTCCGTCAGGAACAACAGAGCTCTAAAGACCTC